TGGTGAGTCCGACTCACCGCGGAAACAAACCCAAAAACAAGACCGCACTCGCAATTAATAAAACCATAAACATAATTAAATTAATCACAAGATTAAGATAAGCTAATTACCTTTGACGCGTGCTTCGCTCCAAAATGAGCTCTTACTTGAAAGCTTCAAGTCCCGCTCACACGGAGACCTCTAACAAAGTCCACCCGCACCAACAAAACCGACTAGGTTCAATGTCTTGGGGTTAGCAAGACCCGACCAATAAAGCCCGAGTAATTATATTGAGTTCAAAGGTTTTCACTAATTGTGATGCCTTTTCCAACTCCTACTCAAGCATCATTCCCAATGCCCATACTTGGGTATTTATAGGAAATGATGGGAGTATCGTTTATTCTCCCATCAATATGGGATAGTATGATTTTTCCATTTTATTTTAAAGCTAAAATAAAATTAATAATCAAGCTAGTAATAAATCAACAAGTGGCAAGCTCATGTGAGTGGTTAGGTGAGAACCACTTGGAGAAGGGGGGGACCAAACTTGCTCCCCACTCCCTCTCCCATAACCGGCTACCTCACTCCACACACACTCAAGGACCACTAGCCACATGGCACCCACCCTTGGGCACTAAGGCAGCCAAGGTGGGCTTCCATGTGCTGTTGTCTGTGGCAGCCACGCCCAGCAAGCCCAGTAGGCCCAGCACTCGCATGCGGGCTGCCAGACGCTGCTGGCCAGCAAGCCCAGCATGCTTGTGCGGGCTGCTGCTGGCCTTGTGCCTTGGCCAGCGCTGCTAGGCAGCAAGCAATGGCCTAGCCATGCTGCTGCTAGCTGTGGCGAGCTGGTGCGCCTAGCGTGCTAGCTGCTGCAGCTTGTTGCGACATGGCTTGCTATTCATTGCGCGCACAAGGCTGCGCCTAGCATGCTAACACGCACTAGGCAGCGCCCAGCCTTGCGATGCTAGCATGGGTGCGCTAGCACGCACCAGCCAGCCTAGGCTCAGCTTGGTGCGCATGCTAGCCATCATGCTAGGCCATTCGCCCTTAGCACTCGGTTTGCTTGGGCATTCCGATGCTAGGGGTATTTTGGTCTTTTGTTGATTTATTACTATTTCTCGTCTCGTCTTTCACTATTTTTCGACTCGACTTCCGACGCTCGGTTTCGACTCTCTAAGCTCGAATTCCGAAGACTAAATAAATATTACTCGGTTAACTCATTAATTCCTTCCGAATTAATTCGTCGGTTCGGTTTGTTGAATGCTTGGGTGTGACCCGAAGGGTTTAGTCAAGATTAAGCTGTAATATTAATTATTCATTAATATTACTGATCGGAAGCGGCCTCCACCCAGGCATTCCGATCACTTGACCTCATTGAATATATTAGCTTTCTAATAATTCAGAACCCACTAACGGAATAGTACACTTGTTCGAAGGACGCCATTCCTTTCAACAGGATCAAAAGCAGCAAAAGCACCGACGTACAAGCATAGCGGAAGCAAAGTTCAAGCGAGCTTTTAAAAGATCGACAAGCGTGGGTCTTTGGTAATTTTCCTTGGAATATTATCGCAACAAAAGTGGATAGCTTCAAGCGAGGATATCTTCGGCAGCGTTTCCTAGCTTGCGGAGAGTTGTCACAAACAACTGAAGGTGATTTCAAGCAAAGTTGTCTTCGATCGTGTTCCCTGGCTTGCGGATGATGGTCACAAAGTGCTAGAAGGTCATTTCAAGCGAAGCAATCTTCTATGGAGTTCTCTAGCTTGCATATGTCTATCATGGCGGAATTGGAGACAGTTACAAGCGTAGCAGTCTTCAGGCGGCATTCTCTACCTTGCGGAAGATTGTCACAGCAACAAATCGGTTACCTTTAGAGGCGTATGCTCGACGGTGCAAGATACGCGTTTCTTAACTCTTTTATCTGTATAACTAACGCTAGTTTGCAGGTATCGGCGTTGCAAGAGTGATTAAGGATTGCAGAACGTTCTAAATCATTCTCCGTCCCTATCGATACTTTAACTTTTGTTTTCGAAACTTGCGTTTCTCCAAACTCAATCAAAGTGGGGGCTTCTGTAGACACCCATTTGTGTCTCCCTAAAAACCAAACCCGGTGATAAGTACCTTTCACGTCGAATCATAATCGAATGAAGTGAAAGTATGGAAAGTCTAGTGTTGCGGATAGTTTTAATTTCTTTTCTTTTCTCTCTGTTTTTGAAACCTATTTTAAAGAAAACAGTCAATACAGTTTGGTTGGTCCATGGAAAGGGTCCAATAATGGTGTAATTGGATGGGGCTTGAAAAGAGCTTTCCAACAATATATTATAAACCCAATTCCGATGAATAATGAGGAATTTATGGCCAAATTACTAAATTGGGCCCGATTTGAGACTTATATGCAGCCCAATGATCTAGAGGAGGGCCTAATATGGATTTATCATTCCTAATGCAATTAAGATTGGTTTTAGTCTTCTAGATTCTTCTAGAAGATTCTTTTCATTCCTAATTCAATTAGCATTGATAAATTGACTTTTGTTGACTTTTTAGAGTTTTAATCAGAATAAAATAGTGTTTTTAAGGAAAATACGATTTTGCCCTTCTGTACGGCTAAATTTTATCTGAATTTAGAAAACGCGTGAAAAAATTAATAAGCGCCTGGCGCTAATGCCTGGCGCTAGTATTAGCGCCTGGCGCTAACTTCTATTTTCCTCGTCGAAACTCTGATTTGTTTTTTTATCCTTTTGGCTAATTTTCTCTATAAATAGCCTCCCAAAACCTTCGTTTTTCATCATCAAATATCACCAACAATCATCAATTCTCTTATATTCTTATATTCTCTTATTCTCTGTAGTTTTTAAGAATTCTTTTCTTTCTAATTTTATACACAAAATTCCGCATTCACAAGACCAAGAAACACCTAGTATTGTTCGAAGTTGCCTTCGCCCTAGACGTGAAAGGTTTAAATTACTGAGGGTATGGTCCCAAATCTCTCTTTCAATTATTTGATTTAATTGTTTGATTTATTATTTTCCTTAAAGTTACTAACGCGTGTATTTTTCTATTAGAAAGAGATACGAGGCATCCAAGTAAGTGCTTTAATTGGTTTTATTGATATTATGATGTAGAAATCATGTCTAGGTTATTATTAAGATTCCTAGTGTCATGTTAGGGCGTTTTGATCTTCCTAGTATCATGTTTAGGGTAACAACTATAATTTCTAATATCAAATATGATAATTATGATTATTTTGATGCTTCCTATTTCTTTTCCTAATATTTATTCATGTTAGTATCATGTTAGGGTTAAAGCTTTGATTCTTGTTGTTTAGTGACATGCTAGGGTTTGTTATTAATCTTGTTAATATCATGCGTAGGATCTTCCTATTATTATTATGCTTTAACATGATTTTGATTATTATTATTTTGATGATTATTATGTTGCTTGATTATATTTTATTATTATTGCTTGATCACGCCTTTTATGCATGTTTAAAGGGAATTGATACTTGTAATCACGCTTAATAAGATAATTAATAATCTTATTTAGCGTTAATTTGATTATAATTCAAGTGATCGCCAATAATAAATTTGTTTGTGCATTAATGTTCAACCAACATAGATAAACAGGTTTAGGGTTAAACCTATTGATTGTATGTTAGTCAGAAAGCGCACATGAATATGATCAGAATAAAGTAGATGCCTATTATTAGGGCAAGTTCAATATCTTTTAGGTTGGATTTGTACCTTCATCCCCGAATTACCAGTCATGGTTCCAGACCTATTAGAGTTGACGATATCCTGGATTGTTAAGGGGTGTAACCTTCACCTCGTGAACGGTTTACAAGTTCCTAAAACTTATTGGCGACTCTTTTGCTCTATCTTCTTTCCCTTTGGACGCCACCGTACTTTAGTGTATGATCACAGTGGGGTTCAAGCTAGGGGTAATGCTTGAAATATTCCCTACACCGATGATCCTCCTATTACCGCTGCCTCTCTGAAGGCCGCGCTCAACAAACTTTTGAAGGAGTTTGAGAGCAACCGAGCTTCTACCTCTAGACAGCCGCTCAGGAAGGAGGGAGAAAGAGCTCCAAAGAAAGCTCAAAACAAAGCAACCAATGCGACAGATGCTGGGAACACCCCCTTTCTCGGCCGAATAGAAGGTCTCCGAGGGTGCCACGGACGAATATCTCTGATATGTTGGCGAAAACCTAGTCGGTTGGGGGGAGGGGTAGACGGCCTCAAAGAGAGGAGACAGAGCCGTCTAGAAGATGGAAGGACGCAAGGGACTACCTCCGGCATAAGCAGTGGGAACGTGCCGCTTACTTAGACACGGCCTCAACTCCCACAATGCCGGATGAATTTTCCAACCACTCCTTTTCCTAGCATAGCAATTCGTCCATCTCTAGCAGGAGTCAAGCTTTGCGTACTCAAAGCCCCATTCAAGTGCAATCACCTCAGTATCAGCCCTCTCAGGTTCTTAACGACATTCTGCAGCCGAGCCCCCAGGTCTTCAGACAATATGGGCCGTTCGGTCAGTCGTTCGGCCAAAATCCCTATTTGGCTAGTCAGCCTGTGCAACCTCCGCCAATTGATTGGCAGATGCGATTACTGACTCTTGGAGATAAGTCGCCTCCGTTTTCGCAAGACATTTTAACTGCACCTCAACCGCCAAAGGTGAAAAGTGTACCCATGGGAGCATATGATGGCACGGGCAACCCTGAGGAACATATCACCTCGTACAGAAACCTGATGTACTTACAAAGTGTAGATGATGTTACCTGGTGCAAATGCTTCCCGGCCACTTTGAAGGGTGTGGCACAGGATTGGTTCAATAGCCTTCCGGCCGGCTGTATCAATTGCTTTACTACTCTTAGTTTGCTGTTCGTGGGAAATTTCTCTTACAACATACCACCTCGAAAGACAAGTCTTAATTTGGCAACAATTGTCTAAGGAAAAAATGAGGGCCTACGATCGTACTTCTAGAGATTTAACCAAGAAAAAGCCCAAATTCATAATCTGCCGGATGAAATGGCTTACTTTGAATTTCTCCGAGGATTAAGGCATAATGGTTTTAAGTTTGACTTGGTAAGAAAAAAGATTCGAACATACGCAGGTGTTCTGCGGGAAGCCGAAGCTTATATTGAGGCAACCGATTTTTGTTCTCTTACAAAAGTAGAGGCACCGGCCAAGGGAGCTGAGAAGAAACAATCTACTCAGCAAGACTTGGCTGGAAAAAAGAAAGATGGAAACAAAAGGAAAGAAGTCTGGGTGGCCGACGAACAGTAGTAGAATTCCAAGAAGGTCAAGACGTACGAGCCCCGGTATGAGTTCAACAAAGACTATCACTCCATCCTGATGTAGATTAAAGACAAATTTGAATTTGAAAATCTTCAGCCGCTAAGAGGCCCGGCTCAGTATGGGAACAAAAACAAGTACTGTCATTATTACCACAAGGACGTAGGACATGACACAAACGATTACATCAATTTGAAGAGATTGTTCGACAAGCTAGCCGAGAAGGGCATGCTGAACTCCTATGTGATGAATTCCAAGTTCACATACACACGGACAGACAACACGTCTGAGAATAAGAAGAAAAATGATAAAGATGATGGGAATAGTACCAATTCGGGCTTTATGGCCGTGATATCGGGGGGATTTGCCTCAGGTGGCCCCACCATGAAGGGAATTAAGCAGAACGCCTGGAATTTGGGATGTGATGCAGGCGGACGCTGTAAAGGATGAACCTTTCTCCAAGGTACCTGTGTCTGAAGCTGACTGGGGGAAGTCAAAGCCCTGCACAATGACCCTATGGTATTCATTATTAATATAGCCAAATTAAAGGTGAGCCGAATACTAATAGATACGGGCAGCTCATACGATATCATCAGTCTGGCCGCCCTAAAGAATTTAAAGTTCCCAGAAGATGCTCTGAAGGACATCACTCATTCCTTGGTAGGATTTGAGGGAAACATCATTCACCCAGTCGGACAGATAAATCTGCCAGTCCGATTTGGGCAGAAAGGAGAAGGGAGGGACATGGTCATTCGATTCCTGGTGGTAAAAGAGTTGACTGGTTACAATGTCATACTCGGCCGCCCCACCTTAAATGTTGCAAAGGCTATGATCGTTCCCCATTTAATGTTGTTAAAAATTGAACGTTCAGACGGAAAGATTGGTTCGATTAAAGAACGTCAGAAAATGGCAAAAGAGTGCAACCAGATAGCTGTTAAGCCAACAATTCGCGGACATGGAAAGTCGTCCGAGTTGAAAGGGGAAGAACCCCCACTCCAAGCATACCAGGTCATCCAAAAGCAAAAATAGGTTATGGCCGACCAAGCATAGCAACTAATGGTTGTCGGTCGGCCCGAAGAACTAAGACCCAAGTCGGCCGGCAACCAATAAGATTTAGTGCTTGACCCCGATAAACCAGGTCGGACAGTCAGTGTCGGCACTAAAGCTATGGGTCTGCTTGGAGATCAGTTAGTTCAGCTATTGAGAGAATTCAAGGATGTTTTTTCATTCGAAGTTAGTGAAATGCCAGGTATAAGCCCTAACCTGGTCGTGTATAAGTTGGCTGTGAACCCAGCCGTTAAACCTGTCCGCTAGAAGAAAAGAAATCATGGAGAAGAGAGGAATCAGGCGGCCGCAGCTGAGGTGAGAAAGTTGTTGGACGCCGGTTTCATTCGGCAATGCTATTACCCTGATTGGGTTGCTAACGTAGTACTTGTGAAGAAGCCGAATGGAACTTGGAGAATGTGGGTAGAATATACGGATTTGAACAAGGCATGTCCTAAGGATAGCTTTCCCTTGCCAAAGATTGACTGTTTGGTTGACTCTATGGCCAGGCATGCCCTAATGAGCTTTATGGACGCATACTCCGATTTCCAGCAAATTCCTCTATGGGAAGAAGATCAAGAAAAGACCGCATTTATGACTGAGAAGGGGTTGTATTGCTACAAGGTAATGTCGTTCGACAATATTTCCCCTGCAACATTTCAGCAACTTATCATCACGGTCTTCAGAGATCAGCTCGGCCGAAATATGGAGGCGTACATTTATGACATGATTTTCAAGTCAAAAGAGCCGGCCGGCCATCTAAAGGATATACGAGAAACATTTACCGAACTCAGGCGGCATAAGATGATGTTAAACCCGAAAAAATGTGTCTTTGGTGTTGAGTCCAGTAAATTTCTTAGATTTTTAATTGATCAACGTGGAATTGAGGCTAACCCTGAAAAAATTCAAGCTGTCTTGGACATGAAGTCTCCAAGAACAATCAAAGAAGTGCAAAGACTGACCGGCTGTTTGGCAGCACTCGGTCGGTTTCTGTCAAGATCAGGGGACAAATGCCGATACTTTTTTCAGACCATCAAAAAGAAAGCTATGTTTGAGTGGACGGAGGAGGTAGAGGAAGCATTCGTACAGTTAAAAAGTCATCTCTATACATTGCCTCGGCTCGTCAGTCCGCTCAAGGATGAGAAGTTGTACATCTATCTTTCTATCTCAGAGCATTCCTTAAGTGTCGTTCTTCTTGTTGAATGGGACGGCCACCAGATCCCAGTCTACTTTAACATCCATGTGCTACACAATGCCGATCTTAGGTACCCCCCTGTTGAAAAATTTGGGCTAGCATTGTACATGGCATCAAAAAAGTTGCGACCGTATTTCCAGGCACATTTAATAGTGGTTTATACTGATCAACCACTCAAGAAGCCGTTTGCAACTTTAGAAGCTAGTGGCCGCATGCTAAAGTGGGCCTTAGAGCTAAGAGGTTTCAACAACACGTTCGAGCCAAGAAAGGCCATAAAGGGTCAGGCATTTGTTGATTTCTTGGCTGAGATGACACGGCCAGATTTACAGCCGGCCAGAGACCAGATATGGAAGGTGTCTGTAGATGGTAGTGCAACAGCGACCGGATGTGGCACTGGAATTATTTGTCAATCTCTCCAGGGGGTTAAGTTTGAGCACACATTAAGATTTTGGTTTCAAGCTGTAGGCGTCGTTCGAAGTGCGCCTACGTTAAAAGCATGTTGTGAATATTCTTAGCACTCATAGGAAGTGTGAATTGACATATACGATTAGGGACAAGGAAAGTAGGGAGCCGCCAACAAGTTTTTAAGGAACTTGTAAACCGTTCACGGATCATAAAAGGCAACCACGAATAAGGGACAACGATAGGCAACAACGATTGACCCGTGAAGGTTACACCCCATTCATAATCCATGAGATTACTAACTCCATATGGTTCGGAACCACGAAAGCAGGATCGGGGATGATGGTACAAAGTGAGTCATGGAGTCACATTCGCCCGTATTGGCCTCTACTCGATTCTTATAGTGAAAAGTGATTCATGTGATCCCAAAGGCATACAAACAAAGATTCAATTTTCTCCAATCTATTATTAAGCTAAATTGGTTTAATATAAATGAAACATATAATTCTAAAATATTGTGATCACTTGATTAAACAACAAGATTAAAAGGAACCTCAACCGGTTGTCAAATTATCTTATTAGGCGTGATTTTCAATTACATATTCCCTTTAAACATGCAATATGGTGATCAATAAATAATATAATAAACATTAATATTGGAAGCAATTCAACAATAATAGCGTTAGTCAAATCAAATAATAATAATAACCCTAATCATGATACTAGCAACAAGAATAAAAATAAGAGTAATTAAGTGAATCAATTACTCAGTTTCCGTGTTTCCTTGAATTGCTACATCATGAATAAACTGTTAGTAACTTCAATAAAAATATAAATTAAATGAAAATTAAATTAAATTAAGGTAGATTTGATTTGGTCCAAACCCTCATTCAATTATATCTTTCATGCCTTGGTTTAAGTATATAACTTTGGGTATTGTATGGACTCCTTATAGTGCTTAGGGGAAGTATTATGGAAGAATAGAGAGGCTAGTATTTAGGCTAAAGAGGGCGAAGAGAATTATTTTGTGATCAAACTTGTTGATGATTGAAAAAGGGGTGATATGACCTCTATTTATAAGGAAAAAAGAGGGTCGAAGAATCAAAATAAGATAGCGAACCGGATTAAAACTCTTGCGATAGACAGCAGTTTTTACGGTTTTTGTTTTTATCATATCTTTTGATCCAGAAATCGGAATAAAAGATATGGCCGAAATAGTGAGACGGTGTCAGTTTTGGATAGAGTTTGACATTTTATTCATATCTTTTTCGTTATAGCTCGGAATTGATATTATAATATATCATTAGAAAGATAATTTCAAGGGCTATACATCTATATAAAATTTGGATAAAAACTATGAGGCACGAAAATAATATCTGTATCTTTGAAGGTCTTTCAATTCGGATAGAAATAGGATTTTCAAATAAATGAGTTTTATTCAATTTCAAACTCTTTAATCTTATCTTTTCAAAAAGGATAATTAGGATCTTTTAGAAACTTATAGAAGATTCTAATTAATCCTAATTGGATTATAATTGGTATTAAATCATTTGGACCCTCCACATGATCATTGGGTTGTAGGTAAGGTGGGCTTAGGTTCGGTTTGGGCTCAGTTTAATATTTTGGTCATAACTTATTCATTATAACTCGGATTTTGGCTTATAATATATCGTTGGAAAGCTATTTTCAAGCCCCTTCCGATTATTTAATAATTTGACCCAGATTATGGACCAAAATAAACTAGATTAAATGTTTTTATGAAAAGGACACGAAATGAATGATTTTAAAGGACACAAAGTGAATTATTTTGGGTTTAAAGACACGAAAAGAGGAAAATAAGTTATGGTTTGGGGAAATGGGCTAGGAATTGTAATTGTTTATGAAATGTATTGGGAATAAACATGGATTTAAGCACTCCAAAGATTACATACTCAACCCGACCAATAATGGCGGTGAAATGTTGTTCATCATCGGGTTTGGTTTTGGGGAGACATTTTTAGGTGTCTACACAAGCCCCCACTTTGACTGAGTTTGTAGAAACTTCATTTTCGAAAACGATAGTCAAAGTAGTCAATAGGGACAGAGAATGATTTAAGACGTTCTGCGATCCTAAATCACTCTATATACGCCGATACCTGCAAAAAATGTTAATTCCACAGATAAAAGAGTAAAGGGATAGAACGCTTATCTGACACCAGTGTATCGGTGACAAATGAGTTTGGTACCTATGCTTGAAGGAATCCACCGAATGACGTTTGTTGAAATGCTTTCCATGCTTGAGGAAAGCCGACAGATGAGTTTGGTAGCTTTCTAAGCCTGAAGAAACCTACCGGATGACACTTTCCATGCTTGAGGAAAGTCGACATATGATTTTGGCTTTTTCTATTCTTGAAGAAATCCACCGATAATGCTTTCCATGCTTGAGGAAAGCCGACAAAGGAATTTGGCGGTTTTCTATGCTTGAAGAAATCCACCGGATAATACTTTCCATGCTTGAGGAAAGTCGACAAATGATAAGAGTGCAAGTCTCTGTGTATCGAGAACCTTGCATCATGAAATGAATGGTGGATCGATTGTCCCCGAACGTGGGTTGTAGATGGTCCGCTTGTCCCCGAACGTGGGCTGTAGATGATCCGCTTGTCCACGGACGTGGGCTGTAGATGGTCCGCTTGTCCCCGGACGTGGGCTAGTTGTAAATGGTCTGCTTGTCCCCGGACGTGGGCTGTAAATGGTCTGCTTGTCCCGGACGTGGGTTGTAGATGGTCCGCTTGTCCCCGGACGTGGGCTATAATTGAGACCTGCAAAATAAAATTTGTCAGTGGACTCGTATAGACTATGATTGACTTGACCAAATGACTTGACCAAGTTTGACTTGACACGACATGACATGACATGAGTATGACTTGTGATTGTGTGTGTATAGTTTGAGTGTGTGTGTGCAGACACAAGCAACCGAAAATGCAAAAGCAAAAATTTTCCATCATTTTTGTCATGAGACGAGTGGAGGGTACCGACTTTCTCCTGAAAAAGAAAGACGTGAAAAATGAAATTTTATTTTCGAACTTCCCTCGATAAAAATTTTGAAAAAGTTTTTGAACTTCCCCAAAATAAAATAATGAAAAAGGAAAGAAGTTTTGAACTTCTTCCTTGAGCTAGACGAAATGAATCGTATGGATTGAATTGCTTGTCCTCAAAATAATGTATGCATGATGCATGTTTTTAGGCCAGGAGGCTAAGTACAATTACATCATGTGACACGATAGATGAATGAACTTAAGTCATGGAGCTAAGCATCATATATGGTGTAAAGAAGCGATCTTAAACGTCAGTTAGGTCTAGAAGCTAAGCACGTATATAGATGAAGTAATTATGAACGTTGCTTAGGTCA